GTGCAAGTGGTGCCAGCCTGACGACGGCAACCTCTAAGCCGCACGGAATTGGCACGAGGAAAAAGAAAAATCGAGGAAACAATTCATCCTCAGCCATTGCCGGATCATCACTGGCAACGGGAGGTGGTGGCGGCGCCGCCGGCGGTATGACCTCTGCTGGAACGCGTGGCACTGGTGGTGGACAGGCAGGTGGAGGCAACTCTAATGCGACAGCAGCCGATTCAGCCTACTCCTCCACCAATTCACCAGGTCAAGGGAATGCGTCGAGCGGAGAAAACGGTGCCGCCGGGGAAGACTCGAACGGCTCCAATGGCTCCAATGCCGGCGACGGGGGAGGAGGCAATGCAGCTGGCGGTGGTGGCGGTGGAAACGGGGGAGGAGGAGGGGGAGGAGCCGGGGGCGGAAGCGGAGCTGGCAGCGGCGCGAATGGCTCTGCGACGAGCGGCAGTCACGCGTCGAACCTGTACCACTACAACCCCTCTCACTCCTCCCACCGACAGTACCTGACCCTGCGTGACCACGTGAAGAAGCGGCGTCTGCTGATGGAGCAAGTGCCCCCTGACAGGCAGATTCAGCAGTTCGATGACTACCTGATGAACAAGGGCAACTACCTGCTGGCGTCGAACGCCGACCAGGTGGCCACCAGTCGCATTGAACGGCCGCCGAGCGCACTTCCGCCCGGCAGTGCCCTCTACACCCTCTTCACCGAACAGGAGCGAGAGCGACATCGAATGCGTCTTCGCCATCAGGTGGAGCAGGACAAGATGCGCCTGACGATGGAGCAGGAGTACCTCCGACTGTACTGTCGGGCGGCACACGCCAACAGCGGCAAGATGCTGCCACTCTCAGTGTGCACCTTCCTCAAGGACGAAGAGCTTTACAATCTGATGGAACTGGAGAAGGACCCCACTGTCGACAGTGTCATTATCGGGCAGATCAAGGCGGAGAACCCCAGCTTCCTCAACCACGGCCCCTCGGGAATGACGGGCATCGGGCGAATTCGCTTCAACTCTCGCCTCTTCATCAGCTGGCAACGTGATGCCGCCGACAAGTGGGCCAAGCTGAAGTCACAGCTACTGGCCAGGCAGCGAGCCGAGGCGGAGGCGCTCTCGATGGCTCAGCGAATGAAGTGGCAGTGGAAGGTGAATGAACTGGCGGAGATGACCACCACGCCGGGCACCGCCTCAGCAGCTGCGGCCAGTGCACCACCCAAGTTTGCCATCAACGGTTTCATTGACCACGAAACCTTTGTGCCCAGCGTGAAGGTGCTCGATGACTTTGACCTGCTTCCCACTCCATGAGCACTGTCCACTCTTCACACCTTTTAAGCTGCTGATTCTTTTTAGACGTAGATTCAATGACTCACTCCCACTTTGTTTGGAATCATCCCTAATAAAACAATTTACATAATCTGTTTACTTGAAATGGGGGTCTTGATTAACAGAGATTGGCTATGAATGGCTATGATTGAGCTTTACGTTGGTTAACTACACTTCCTGAAGAATTTGCTTTAACAGCAGCCGTAATGCCTGCTGGACAGGTGAACTATTTCCCTCAATTAGTACCTTCTCCAAAGGGCTCAGTGGAGCGTTGTTTGGATTGGGGAAACCAGCACCATGGCTGCGGCTTTGCTGGCGAGCCTCGTAAGCCCGCTGACGGCTCTGGTATGCCGTCTCTTCCTCCAGTAGACGGGTGATGGACGCTTTGACAGATGAATCGCCGAGCAAGGCGACGAGTTGGCTATTTGACTGCAGATAGGCTAGAAGGGCTGAACTGGAGCTGGAGGTCATTGTGTTTCCTGCTGATCGTTAGTGTTATCGATGCGAATGGTGTTGAGTAAGTGTCGGAGCTTTTCCTGCAAAAGATCGTTGTCTTGATCTAGTTTTGTAAGCACTTCGTCAATATTATTGAGGTTCTTATCAAGATCTTTGTATGCTAAAAGAAGGAAAAATTGATTTGTTGTGAGACACTGCTGATATAAACATAAAAGCATTTACCGTTTTCAAATTCGTCCACCTCACCAGCGTCAATATCCTCTCCCTGCTGTGCTTCTGCTCTGGTCTCAATCGGTTGCAATGCCAATTGATTGATTTCTTCTTGAATGCTATTTAGCGATCGGTTAATCTCTTCAATGGAAAGGGAGAAATCAGGAAGGACGTTTGGAANGTCTCAATCGGTTGCAATGCCAATTGATTGATTTCTTCTTGAATGCTATTCAGCGATCGGTTAATCTCTTCAATGGAAAGGGAGAAATCAGGAAGGACGTTTGGAGAGAGAGGTTCCTCTGCGACGGCTTCAATGCGATCAGCTGGCTCTTCAGGAGGCTCCAGCACCTGCGCTAAGGGCTGGTTATCTGCCTCGGCAATGGCTTCTAGGTCTTCCTCTTCGTCGGCAGTGTTTGGTCGGTTGAACTCACCTTCAAGTGTCATGGCAGCAACGGCCCTTGGAGCGCAGCGAGGTGAACTAACGCACGTGCAACTTTGGCAGCTCACTCTTTTCACTGCAAAAAAACAACAACACCCATCGTTGGACGCTTCATAGAAGTAGTTCCTCAAAGCTGGTAACAAGTCTATTTGTTTAATTGGGTAATTTAATCTAATTATCTGATCAGTTACTTAGGAGGTCTTGAAACGAGTGATTGGTTTTGGGCGTGTACGCGTCTTTTGGAAAAAATACAGATAAAGGGGGCACTGAAAATGTGAAATCAAACGTAGATAATAGGAAACTTTCCGGTAGCACTTTAAAACTCCTTGAGCAGTGTTGTCAGGAGGAGTCGGCAGCAGATTTATGCCAACAAATGCTTAGCTTGTGGCCAAATTCTGATGATATTCTCCCCGTTCCAGGGCCTCGCACCTTCTGCTTTTAGTTGTTCAGTTTTCAACTCGGTAGTCCACCTTGGGCAGCGGCCACTTCTCTCCACGCTTCATCGACCCAGGCCACCGTTATCCGTCACCCTGGTCTCTCCGTTCAGTGCTGCTGCGCCATCCTCCTCGCCCTACGACGCCCGTTCGCTGGCTGTCAGAGCGTGTCACAGCGACACTAGTTCTCGCTAAACTCTTGACCCCTGCATCCGCTCTCAACAACCGCCCGAAATGACTGACCGTCGAGCCGAGTTAGAGAAGAAGCGTCTGAAACTTCAGCAGCTGCGTGAGCTGAAAGAGGCTCGCCGCCAAGAGAAAGAATCAGGCCGTGTGCTGATCGGTGATCTGGGCATCTCTTCATCGACCGGTCTTTCAAGTCCAAGTCGCGGTCCATCATCACTAGGTGCTTCGCTAAACTCAAATGCCGACAGTCCGTCAATACGGTCTGATATTACTGAAGTGGATGACATCCTCAAATCTGTAGGCATACATGCCGGGGAATCAGGTACGTTTAAGCTCACATTGCTCAGTAGCACGCTTCAGCTAACTGTATTTGTCATTTTCCTCTTCTCACTTTTAGGCTCAAATCGGCAAGGCAATCATGCAGACAGCTCAACGAGCCATCACGCCAATGGCGTGGGGAATAATGCCCTTACATCGCCCGACTCGGGCACCAGCTCCGAAGCGAAGCCTTCGCCCAGTACGGCCGCACCCACCCTGTCGATTGCCACCTTTCCACAGGTGTTAATTGCTCCAAAGGAAAATGTCACTTACGAAAAGCAAACACAAACAGCAGCAACTCAAAGTACGAGTTCTCAAGACCGAGGTAAGTGCCGACTGCTGCCACACTATCATAACATTTAACTCTAACTGCTAACTCTACCTCTGACCATCAACTTTCTTTAACGCTTCACTTCGCCCTTAACTTTCCCTTCTCTTGGGCAGACTCTCCGATTCCCAAGAAAAAAGGTGCTTTTCATTTACTTTTCTTATTTTCCCTTCTTTGTTACCTTAGAGAGATAACACAATCTCTAATATTCCTTTTCCCATTTTTCTTCCCCTCCAGGCGGACCTCTAGATTATTACGGTAAGTGGCGCCCACCCACCCACCATCTTTACCCATTCCCAACTTTCTGTTTTTGCTGTGGTTATTGCTATGGGAGTTTCATTTCATCATTTCTTGCTCTTCGTCGAGAGTTCTGTCAAAACAAATGGAAACACCTTCAAAACGTTCATGTTTTCTCACTCTCTCTCTCTCTCTCTCCACATTTTAACCTTCTAACCTCTTTAACCTGTCACCTATTTCCTCTAATGTTTCTTATCCTTTTTGTCGACAACAGTCATCCACTGGGATGAAGGTATGCATTTATGGGCCGGTCGCTGTAGTTGCTCCGGAAAAGCTTTTACTAGTAGCAAAGTAGAGCAAATAGAAGAAGTTAGGTGTAGCGTAACTACACATTTTCTTTCACATTTTCACTTGCTTGCATGAACTTGCATTGATGATAATAATTGCTAACCTCTAATTTTCATCTTTTTACCTCTTCTCTCTTTCTCTTTTGACGTCATGCGTTCCACACAAATTGTCTTTGTTGGGGTGCATCTAAAACTCCATTCTCTGTCTCGGTGTTCCTTCTCTCACTCTCTCGGTGTCGGTCGGTCGGTAGAATGGGACGACGAATTTCAGGGTGAGTGCTGAGCAGGCCGATGACTGTGGGCCAACTGTGCCCAAGTCACCACTGGATACCATTTCTCTTCTGGCCCATGTTTTCCATAAGATTTCAAACTTCTTTACACATATTATTTCTCTGGCGTCTGCTCAAATGCTTTTATTTCCGCTTGGATTGCTTTTCATTTGAATTGCTTTACTTCTATTTATTGCCTACTTTCTTCTTGTCGTCCTACCAATACCATCATTTCCTTTCTTTCATTTGTGTTCACTGAAGACTGTGAGAGTGCCTTCGTCAGTGTTTATTTTTGGTTGTGTTTTTCTATTTCATTTTACATTCCTTAACTTCTGACTATTGTTATTGTCTGATATTATTTTTCTCGCCAACTATGATCATTCTTTTTCTCACTCACTCGATAATCGTTGACATTGGTTATTCTTTTTTCATTTTTCTTTTTTCTCATTTAGTGCTAACGTACGACGATTTAGGCGGCGATGAAGGAGAAGATGGATCGCTGTTTACTGTTCCCTATGGTTCTGGTGGCCAGGCAGCGGCTCAAACACAAACTAAATCTCATCAGGGGCATCGAGCATCACTACCTACTGTGGAGATGGTACGACCAGCGCAAACGGCCGATGATTTAATCGCCGAAGAGACGGAAAAGAAAGCTCCGAAAAGGGCAGAGTACAAGGAAGAGGAACGGCGGCATCTCATGCAAACGGAAGCCTTTAGAAAGTTCCTTGATCGCGCTGTAAGGATCACCGAACGGGCGTTGAGCTGTACAGACTCCATGGACATTTTCGTCGACTACACCGGCCAGGTGGAGAATGTTGACAGGTGAGAGGGAGAAGGAGATTGATGAGATTTAATGTTAACCAATCAGTTTGTATTCCTTTTAGTGAGGACAAAAGTGGCCTTCGCCTGGCTCACTCAGGCACATACATGGACGAACGCTGGAGTCGCGGTCGAGCTGTGACCAGCTTTGACTGGTGTGCCCAGTTTCCTGAGCTGCTTGTTGCTTCCTACAATCAAAATGAAGGGGCACCCAATGAGCCAGATGGCATTTGTTTGGTGTGGAATATGAAGTTCAAGAAGACGACACCTGAGTACGTCTTTCACTGCCAATCCCCGGTCATGTCGGCGTGTTTTGCCAAGTTTCACCCCAACTTGATTCTTGGTGGCACCTATTCAGGTAGGTGTTGAAAAGTCTGGCTAAACTTGTGCCTTGTTAACTTGTTTTTTATATTCGTGTAGGTCAAATTGTTCTCTGGGACAACCGCTCTGGAAAGCGAGTCCCAGTGCAGCGTAGTCCACTCTCTGCCAGTGCTCACACACACCCGGTTTACTGCTTAAAGGTGGTTGGAACGCAAAACTCGCACAATCTCATTAGCATATCAAATGACGGGAAACTGTGCAGTTGGAGTTTGGACATGCTCAGCGCTCCGCAGGAGACCATGGAGCTCTGCCAGTCGAAGCAGTCGCGCCAGATTGCCGTCATGTCGATGTCTTTTCCCAGTGCTGACTTTAATAACTTTGTGCTCGGCAGTCAGGACGGCGCCGTCTTCAGTGCCTGTCGACACGGTGCCAAAGCAGGCATACTGGACATCTATGATGGTCACCAGGGTAAAGTTTGACTGTGAAGAAGCTATTGGCAGTAATAGTAATTTGTCATGTTGCATTATCGTTCACTTCAGGCCCTGTTACGGCAGTTGACTTTCACGCCGCATCTTCCACTGGCGTCGACCTCTCCCATCTCTACTTGAGCGCCTCCTTTGACTGGACCTTCAAGCTGTGGAGTATGCGCGAGCAGAAGCCGCTGTACAGCTTTGAAGACGGCAGCGATTACCTGTACGATGTCCGCTGGTCGCCCATTCACCCGGCTCTCTTCGCAACCGTTGACGGGCTCGGTCGTCTGGACATTTGGAATCTGAACCACGACACTGAATTGCCCACGGTGTCTACGGTTGTGGAGGGCATGTCTGCTCTGAATCGCCTCATTTGGTCTCCCAATGGTCAGCAACTGGTGGTGGGCGATGACGCCGGAAGGATAGCAGTGTATGATGTGGGCGAGGTGAGCAGAAAGATGGGGTGCTTGAGAAGTTTTAGTACTAACTATTTATACATTTTTTTATTGTTTACTAGCAATTGGCGTTTCCAAAGAACGACGAGTGGACGCGTTTTTCCCATACACTGCAAGAGTTCACCAACAACAGCATTGACATTTGAGTTCTGCTTCGCCATTCACCCCACCACCGACAACTTGGGACCACCTCCCAACCGCTTTGAAATTGCCTTGACTGTTTCCTCTGCTTGCTCTACTTTGCTGGTTGCTGTTTCTGTATCCATCGCCTGTGATTTGAAACTACTCTTTACTTGAATAGGTTTTCTAACTATTTCTTCTCTGTACTAACTCACTTGAAATTGTCTATTTTTATTCTTTTAATTCTTACCACACCAACAGCTTGTTANATTTTTTTATTGTTTACTAGCAATTGGCGTTTCCAAAGAACGACGAGTGGACGCGTTTTTCCCATACACTGCAAGAGTTCACCAACAACAGCATTGACATTTGAGTTCTGCTTCGCCATTCACCCCACCACCGACAACTTGGGACCACCTCCCAACCGCTTTGAAATTGCCTTGACTGTTTCCTCTGCTTGCTCTACTTCGCTGGTTGCTGTTTCTGTATCCATCGCCTGTGATTTGAAACTACTCTTTACTTGAATAGGTTTTCTAACTATTTCTTCTCTGTACTAACTCACTTGAAATTGTCTATTTTTATTCTTTTAATTCTTACCACACCAACAGCTTGTTAGGCTTTGGTCTTCTCTTGACGGGCCTTTCTTCTGACACTGAACTTGTGCTGAGTTAATTAACACTTTAACACGTTGATGATTGTACATTTATTTATGTATTCCTTTTATTTAAGGAGGAACTTTATTTNACTGAACTTGTGCTGAGTTAATTAACACTTTAACACGTTGATGATTGTACATTTATTTATGTATTCCTTTTATTTTAGGAGGAACTTTATTTATTAGATTGGTCGATTTCTGTTCACTTTCATCGTTTTTCTTTTTTTGCAAGTTTTTGTTTTTGTATGTCTGCTTCTAGTTCTTCTTGATTTTTACACAATCACCTGTTTATCAGTTTGTAAATTCCATCTAAAATCTTCGGCTTTAAAGACATTGCAATTTCGTCTTTAAGCAAAGAAGATAATTTGAAATAAGCAACAAACAAAATCAAAATATACAGTTTTATTTATTCTTTTATTTCACACTTTACTCCTTCCAATGAATTGTTGCATGAAAGACTTTTGTGAAAATTAACAGGACAGTAGAAAGGTAACAGCAAAAGGAATGAACACAGGAATTATAAGAGCGATTAGAACATCGATCCTGCTGTCATCGGTTTGAGACAGTGCCACCACCACCACCACCTCGACCCCGACCACGACCCCGTTTGTGCTGTGAAGAGTGATAGTGCTGATAGGCAAGTCCACCTACTAGTGCCGAGTTCATTTCTGCAGTCTGTGAGTCCTGTGCCCATGAGCTGCTGTTGACTGTGCCCTCAGCAGCTGCTGCACTACTAGTGCTGGCGGAATGAAAACCAGAGAACGGTTTGGAGCACTTGACCACCGAGTAGTAGGTGAGCGCAGGCGGCTCAGCAGATGGATCTACTGGCTGATTGCTGCTGTATCGTGATTTCTTCTTGCCCGACACCTTCTGGTGATGCGTTGACCGCTGGTGGTCATCGAGAAACTCAAAGTGCATAAAGAAAAGATCACATTCATCGCAGTGAAAGGGCGACTCTCCGGAGTGGTGCTGAAAGGAATAAAGAGGTGTTAGTTGGAATGAGTTTGAGCCTACACAAATCAGCTTTCACCCTACCTGGTAGATGTGCAAATAAAGGTCGCTCTGTGGAAATTTGCCGCTACACTCGCCGCACGGGTAGAGAAAGGCTTGTGGTGAGCTACCTGCTTCCTGAGTACTCGACTGGACGCTGAAGACTGTCGTTGGGAGGTGAAGATACCGCTGATTGACCAGGTGATTTGTGTTGTGCACCACCAATGAAGCTTCACTTTTCGTGCGATATGAGCAGTTCTTGCAGGAGAACTCCTTTGCCGTTATGTTCTCCAGGTAGGTGTCAACAATTCCCGTCGAGTGAGATCGCTTTGCGGCACCGGAAGCTGATGTCTTTCTCTGAGCAGTGACTATTGCTGCTGACGCCGTTGCAGGGGACGTCGTCGCAGTTCCTATAGGACCTGTCTGCATCTGATTAGCCCTGAATGCACTCAACTCGAGCTGTAAAGAGCGAATTTGATTTTCGTACTGTTGCTGCATCTGAAGGTAAATTTGTTCAGAAGGTAAGACTAGATTGCCTTGCGGTTGATGTTGTGACTGCTGCTGTTGAACAGCACCGCCACTTCGTAACCCCTGCTTTTCCTGTGCATTTCGTACATACACAGCACTTGTCTGACCACCAACTGAACCGTCAACACTGATGTTGTCGTTGAATGTCTCCAGGTAATTCGGTTGTTGAAGGAGGTACTGTGCTTGGTCCAAACTTCCAGAGCTTCCAGAGCTGAGAGATGGTTGCACTAATGGAGGTTGGTTACCGGCAGATGCTGGCGCGGAAAACCCCGACTGATTTGATTGGCTGTTCATCATTGTGAAGGTTGTTCAGTTAAAGTGGGATGCTTACTGAGCTGAAACAGTGCGACTCTCAATGTCAAAAGAATTGTCAAAACAATGCCACTTTTTAGTGAAGCATCTTCAAGTGCGGTTTCAGTCGGAGAGGAGGAATCTGTGGTCGCTTTAGAGTCAAAGAAGGTCATGTTTGTTTTTCATTCTACAATTAATCACATCAGTTGCTCATACAAAGTGAAGGTGATGACAAACTGGCAAAGACCGGTATTTTCTGGTACCAATGGACTTTGTTTTGGGTTGAATTTTGAACAAAAATACTAATTTAGTGCTTCAGAAGCAAGAACTTTACTTTTTCTGTCTTCCGGTTGATTCATCTTTTAATCATTTTGTCACTACCATTTTTTTCATCAGAACATGCAGAGATTTATAAACTAACTCTCACCCTAGCCGACCTCATTATAAAATAATAAAATACGTGCTTAAAGATCTTATTAAGTATCGATGGTACAATTATACCACAGATGCTTGCCAATGGACACTTGCAAAGTGCAAGGATTTGGGAACTACAAGATGCACTATGTGTCTGTGCTGAGCAAAGCCTACAGTCGTAAACAAAAGGAAAAATGCTGTTCCCTCTAGTGAAATGAGCGTAAAGCTAGTAATTCTCTCAGCGCTATGAGGGAACCCCAAAACTACCTATGCAGTTTTTTAAGAGTTCCCCACCAGTGTAAGCTGCAGCTGAGCACACAAGCTTTTTACACTTGACAACAATCAAAAGAGTATTTCATCGATCTAGAGAGAACACACATACACACGCACATACCAACTTCATAACAACTTCTCCGTTGTGCGTTTACAGGACATTACCGCTTTGGTCTTCGACAAATGCTTAGAGGGATGCTCTAGGGTCCCCTCCATTGGCCCATCAACACATCCACACTGGACTCGATGTGGTTCTGGCAGCTCATCTAACGCCAGTAAACAATCAAACAGAAAAAGTATCCCCTGAGATGAACACCCGTTTCGGAAAGAAGGATCACTGCAAGTGAAGACTGCACTCAGTTGAAGCTACTTTCACTTTTTTCAACTCACACCGACTGCTACTCTTGTTTCTCCGTCTGTCCGAGTGAATGCGCGGGAAAAGTGATAAACAGACGCATTGACTTCTGCAAGCTTCTACTAGACCATCATCGCCAATTAGTGCAAACAGCTGTGATCGACCACTTGCCATCCTCATGGATCCATCTTCACATTCCTCACTGTACTCCCTCAACGATGCCTTACTACTAACTGACACTGGTCAGCAGCACACCGTCAGCAGTCACTCTGGCCCTGCATTCAACATTCACGTCTTGGAGCAACTACAAACAGCCATGAACCGAGAAAACGACCGCAGCTCTGAGCTGGAGAAAGAGCTGGCTAGCTGCAAGAAACGGCTCCGTGATCTAGAAGCGCAGCTTCAAGCTAAAGACGACCGCCTTATAAAGGGCGATGATCTTCATCACACGCATCTGCGGACAGTCAAAGATAAGCTGCTGCAGTGCCTGCGACTGATGAACCCAAGGGCAGCCGCAGAGGCGGCGGCAGCTTCCAGCAGCACCTTCACTCCTGCCCCAGGAGATGTCGATTCGCTAGGGGCGGCAGCAGCAGCAGCCGCATCCACTCCGACGAGAATCATCTTTGAGCACCGCTGTGATGAGTGCAACTTTCGCTCTAAGTCGGATGTTTCGCTAATTCTCCACAAGATGAATCACTCCATAGTTGAGCAGCAGTTTGTACTCTCCACGACGGCCTTCACCACGCGCAACTCCAACACCAAAGCCATCTACAACTGTCCGGCGTGTGATTCAGGCGCCAATCTAACCAGGCACGAAGTTTATCGGCACATTTAGTAAGTACACGGTTAGCGTACTTATTCGACCACACAAACTCATCTGTGTTTTTTACTTTCCCTTTTCAGTGACACTCATACCGACGAGAAACCACTGAGTTGCCCTTACTGCGAGTACTCCTTCACCCATCAGGAGTACCTGAATGAGCACACTCGGACAAAGCACTCAAAAGCAAATCTAAACAAAAACCTAACCATCCGACCTGATGCTCAGCTTGGTCCGCTAATAAAGGAATCTTGGGCAAATGACATTATTGCTAATGCCGCCCAAGCCATAAATCAGGGCAAAGTGGTGAACAATCCTCTGAATCCAGTTGCTACCACCATCATTACACCTTCAATCAGTGAGCACTATTCACTGTTTCTTTTCAATCCCAAGTTATTAACAATTTTAATATTTCACATTATCAGAATCGCTAACAACCAAAACATCGGGCAATCGTGGGCGTCCTTCTGCTACAGCCTCAACTAAAAGTGCCACTGAGCTAAAATGTACATTTATAGATTGTAACTTTACCACGATATTTCAAGATAAGTTAGACTTTCACGTGAGAGCTCACATCAATACAAAGGTAAATCAATAGTTCAGTTTGTGTTTACATTGTACAACTGATTCATTTTTATTTGTTTAGTATAAGTGCCCGTTTTGTCCGTATGTTTCGATGACAACCCAAGGTACGACTAACTTTTTTTCAATTTTCACTATGCTAATTAAAAACATCTTTTTGTAATAGACATCAAGCGGCACATACAAAAGTCAAAGAAGCATGAAGGCATGAAGATGTATAGCTGTCAAAAGTGCGGTTTTGGTGTTGATTGTGATAGGCTGTTTAAGGAGCACTTGAGGACGTTTCATTTTGGTTTTGAAGTGCATGACTCAGTCGTTGATTATTTCATCGAAGAAATGTTCATCAATAAGAACAGCAAACAGCCCAATTTGGATTTGGACCTTACAGCGGCACAGATGGAGCGGCTGAAGCATCAGTTGCAGAATCCAGTGCTACATCATCCTCCGGGAAGTGGAAGTGCATCAACGGACGGCACTGCAGGAGGCAGTGCCCAGCACCCAAATAAGAAGCAGGCAACGATGCTCAATAACCTGATGACATCAGCGCAGGAATCATCGAGAAAACGGGCAGCTTCAATGTCAGCTGGGGTCAATGCTGTTCAGCATCAGCAACATCAGCAGCAGCAGCAGCAGCAGTTGCAACAACAGCTGACGACTCTTATTGAGGAGAGCACCAGTGATACACGGTCAGTAGCAGCGACGCCTCAGCCGCTTACTGCTCACCAACAGAGTATCCATCTGACACATCAACAACAGCAGCAACAGTCGGCACTGAATTCACTCATCAACAACTACCGGTCGATGCCACTGGCGGTGGGCGTTGGTGGTGGCGGTGGTGGCGGTGCAAGTCAGCACTCAGCGACCAACATCGTCAACGCCATTGGACTGAACAACGCCGGCCAGCCAGTGCTCATGTACCACAGTCTTCCTGATGCACTGCAAGTGGGAGTGGGCGCTGGTGGCAGCAGTAGTCAACAGCCACCGGGGGCACATGCACACCACCTGCATGCACAGTTCCACCATGGCGCTCTTCAGTCTGCAGTGACCGGGCACGGAGGACAGCAGCAGCAGAACAGTCAGCAACAGCAGCAGCAGCAACAGCAGCAACAACACCTCACCGAAGCACTTCTCCTTCAGCAACAACGCCAACAGGTTCAGCAGTCCCGGGGACAGCAGCAGCAACATCAGCAGCAGGCTCACGCATCGAGTGGACAGCAAAACTTTGTCAATCCTGCCTCCGGTGACTTACCGGCAAATCTGCAGTACGTCACTTATGCCAACTACTGAACGGCAATTATTGGACTCGTCGTCGTCGTCGCTGCCAGTTCCGCCATCTTCAGCTTAATCTTTAGTGCAGCGTTCTCACTGACGAGTCGCTCAAACTGCATGTCGATGAGCTGTTCATACACATCGCTGAACGACAGGAAAGAATTTGCTGTTTGAGAGGACTGTTCTTCTTTTTCCAATCCTCCTTCTCCTCCATCTGTTGCGGTTGCGATTGTCCGGTGGGCACTTTTTGCCGGCACCACGTGGCTAGTCGTAGAGCCGAGAATATCTTCACCGACAGCCGATATTTCGCGAACCACAGTGGCCATCTTCTCCCGTTGCAGTGCCGCCTGCAGCATTGACTGCAGCTCCTCTATGAGACGTGTCGTTTGTTCATCAGTTGGTGCGTGCTCTCTCTGATCGACAGTTGCCATCTCCGTCTCGGCCTGTGTCTGAAGAAAGAAAGTTCATGAAGCGAATTGGAAGAACACTATTCCCCTTCATCAAACGCTCACTCGCATTTGTCAATCCCATCCTTCATCTTTTTGTACTGTTTTCTTTTTACTAATGTTGCTAAAAGCGTTCTATCTCTTACCTGGTGTCTCTGTACGACTACCGTTCTCTGTTCGGTGTGAATGGTCGTTTCATCTTCAAAGCGCACCCTCGGCCGTTCACTGCGATCTCTGACCTTGGCTGTCGTTTGTGTCTCTTTACTTTCCATGGCCTTTACTTCTACCTTTTTAGAAGAGCCTGCTGACGATGATGATGATGCTTCTCTAACCACCTGCCTCTGCGTGGTTTGAAGTTTCTTTTCCAGTTTGGTTAGCACTGATTGGTACTTTTCAATTTGACTGTTCAGACTGGCCACCAGGTGGTCCCGGTCAGCCAGTTTGCTGCGTGCAGTTGCCAGGGCAGCATTTAGTTTCTTCTCAGCAGTCCAACGCTCCAACTCGAGACGTTTCGTTTCCTCCGTCAGGTGGGCAATCTGTTGACGCAAGTCTGCAGACTCCTGAAAGACGGCATTGTCGACTTTCTTTTTGAGCGAAGACGCAGACAGGGCAGAGGAGCGCTTGTTTAGTTCGGCAATTTTGCTATTCAGAGTGGAGATTTGGCTAATGTACGTGCTTTCTTTGGCAGTCAGTGACTTGATTTGAGATTCCAAATTGTTACGCTCAGTGGTGAGTTTGCTAATGGTGTGATGAAGCTGAGTGATGGTCTGTTGAGCTGATGCAAGGGATGATCGGGCAGTGTCCAGTTGAGACTGAAGGTGCTCCTGCTGGGATTTGCTTGTGGCACGAAGAGAGTTGAGCTCAGCAAATGTTTTTGAGAGCAGTGAGAGCAGTTCTTCATTTTGTGCAGTACATGGCTTGAGGAAGAGCTCCTGGTAGAGGGTTTCAAGCTCATTCGGTTGAGGAGTGGATGATGGACGGACGTCAGTGGCTGATGCAGTGGCAGATGCTGTGCTGGCAATTGAAATGGCAGTGGTAGTGGTGGCAGTGGCAGTGGCGGTGGTTGTGGCGCTTTGGCGCATTGACTCGAGTAACTGGCGATATTCCGCAAGGGCTTCATCTTTTTGCTTTAGACAGTTCTGTCAAAATAATAGTATTTAAGCATTTATCACTTGATCAAACTTTAGAAAACTCACCTGCAGACAGGCGATTATTGTCTCCAGTATCGATTTGGTCGCTTTCCCTTCTGCTCCAGTGTCTACTTTAAATGTTCGGTTTTTTTCGGTGGATTCGATTTCAATAAAACTAGGATATGTTTCTATCAGTTTAGATAACTCCAAGTTGGCAGTAAAGGTATTTTTTGGAATTGGTTTGAGATATTCTCCTTGCGAAGATTTGTCCTCGTCAGACAGGCGCTCACTTGATTTTCGAAGCTTCATACGCAAGTCACTTATCTCTTCTGCTCTCGCTTCCAAATCAAGTTGAAATTCTGTAGTTACAAGCTATCAACAAAGTTAAGTCAAGTTTAAATAACCAAATAAAAAATTTACCTTTAAATTTCCTTTTAGTGATTCAATTTGTTCAGAAAGTTTGGCTTCTTGAAACTTCATCTGACGACGTTCTTTGTCAATTAAGCCCCGAATTGAGGTAAGCATTTGATAATATTTAGAACAGTTGACGCAATCGGGTTTTAAACTAGATTCCTGGACCAAAGGTTTAGCTGCTGCAAAGATATTTTCTGTTTGAGTCGCTAAAGAACTGAATTTGGGCTTAACTGTTTGCGTAGAAATGTCAAACATATCAACGTATTCATCATCTTCACCATCAGGCGTGTGAACTTCTGACTTTTCTAACTTTTTATTTTCTTTTTCTTCATGCAAAACACGTTGAACTCGTGAATCTTTCAGAAGAGCATCTACTACTTGTGAATCTTGAATCAAAGTACGTTTCACTTCAGCATTGGTTTCAATTACTTGCTTTACAAAGTGACTATTTGACAAAATAAAACTTTGAATATCAGGGTCAGCAAGAAGGGACTCGCCTAGTGAAATGTCGTCAATAATCTGCTTCTTTATATCTGATTCGGATAAAACTAATTTTTGTTGTGTTGTTGACAATGGGGAGTCAGCAACTTTGATGGGCTCAACTGAAACCGGAGTTTGAGTGGAAACTGAAGATGTGGGAATAATGATTGGGAGCTTTGAGTGGTGTTGCTTTTTAGGCTCTTCATCAAATTCTGTTTGAGTAGAAAAATCAATTTTAAAACCATTTTTGCGATTGAATGAATGAGGTCTTTTTGGACGGAATTTTTGCTTTTTCAAAACTGGTTTTCTTTTGTCAGCAGTTGATTTCAGCTGAAATTGTTTTAGTTGTTGGTAATACGCTTGAAGGAGGTCAGATTTAGAGTCATCCAAACTTGAACTCTGTTCCATCGATTCCAATGCCTGATTGTCTGTGTTTTGTGACTCTGCACTCGTCAATGCTTGGCTAGAATCAACATCCGAAATGGAGCTCGACTGTGGCACGGTCCAGTTTTCCAGAATATCATTAGTGTACTCGTCAATGACGGCCAGAAAGTCTGCTCGCAGCGTCTTCAGCTCAGTTCGCAGTTGTTCGTTTTGGCCACGAACAAAGTCCAACTCAGACTTGAGGAGAATCACCTTACTGAGATCAACTGAGTTAGAGTCGTCACCAAAACCTAGTGCAGGGTAGATGAGGCGATTCTCGAGAAGTAGACAGAGTCGTTCAAGACTGGGACACTCAATGACCAGATCGGCTGTAGTGTCGCCGGCTCGCAAGCCATCGAGTATCTCCTTCATGCCGAGCTGTAACTCTAGATTTTCCTTCTGCACTGAGCTCATGTGCATCTGCAATGCGTCCAGTTGTTTTGTCTGCACATCTCGTTCCACGGTGATGGCAATGAGCTGATCCATTATGGGTATTTCCGACTTTGTTTGATTTGGCTTTTCAGATGAAACGGTTGTTTCACCATTGGTAAATGAGGTCAAGTGGTGTCGATTGAGCTGGTCAATGAGGTAGCGAATTTTGTCGTCTCGGAAGACGATCATACGGCGAAGAACTGCATTTTCCTCGAGAATAGTCTTCAAGGAAGCCCCATGGTCGCCACTGTGAGCCATTAAAGCCATGGTCTGGCGACGAACCGTCTCCAAATGTTCATCTTTTCTTCCAGCCTCCTTCTCAAGCTCGGCTACTCTCTCCAACAAGGTGAGCTTCTCTTTGCGGAGCTTTCGAACGCGTCGACGAAGCTGTCTCACAAGAGGCGACTCTTGTCCGTCCTCCGGCGTTGGCGTGTCATTCGGTGACGAGGAGACTATGGCCAGTTCAGCCTCCAGGCGTTCAACTTCATCGCGTTTCTGCTCAAGAATCGACTGTTCAGTTGCAGACAGTTGTGAGAGTGCAGCGCGAAGCTCTCCAATTTCCGTTTCTTTTGCCTCCAGGAGTACCTGTTGACGTTTGATCTCCGTTGAAAGCTCCTGAAAGAAGTTTGTGCTCACGTCGACGCCACTTGCTGCCGAAGTCTCAGAGAGGTGCTCACTTCGAGGGCCGAGCAGTGCCGATGAGCGATGCTCCAGGTCAGTCCTTATTTCAGCAATCTCCTTTTCCTTGCGATCTCTATCGAGACTGAGTGATTCGTTGAGACGACGAAACTCGTCCACTTGTACGGTGAGCATTTCCACTTGTGATAGTGAGATCTTCTGTTCATTTCCCAGCTTGGCAACGTCTAGACGGAGTTTGGCCACTTGCTCGGCAAGATCCAGATTTATGCGGTCGGTGTCGTAAAGGCGGTCGAGTAGCTGTTCAATTTGGGCGTTTTTCTCCTCCAATTGGCGGCTCTGGTCTTCAAGATGTTCAGCAGAAAAAAGAGCAGAAGACGACGACGTGCCGGTGTGTTGCTCTGCGCCACTAGAAGACCCCTTATCTCCGCTTTGCATTTCCCGCAACTCCAACTGTGAAGCCTCCAGCTGCAGTCGAACTGAACTGAGCTCTCGCTCCTTCGCCTTTGAAGACTCCTCCAGACGGCGGTTCTTCGCCTGCAGCTCATCCAACTGATCATCTTTCGCCTCAAGTTGTTCTCGCAGATCAGCTAGAGCAGCTTCATCCGAGGAACTAGTTGAGTGGCTTTTCAGTTCAGCGGGCGGACTTGACTTGAAATGATCTAGTTCGGTGTTGACCGCGTCAAGTCGACTGCCCACCGTTTGGAGCTCCTCGATGAGTACATCAGTTTGAATTGTTTTAAGTCGAAGTAGTGAGCGCGTAAAGTCGAATAGTGACAGTAGGTGTGAGGTGGATTCATCAGGCGTAGGCGTGAACTGTGTGATAAAGCAGCAAACATTAGGAATGAAAACAATATCTAAACTTGACTGCTGTACGCGCTTACTTTGAAAAGGCGCTCGCACCACTGATCTGCTTCATCTTCACCGAGCTTCTGAATGTTCACTGCAGCCAGCTGATCAAAATCGATCATCTTTTCTCTTCTTTCTGTTCTCAGCAAATCCGTTCTCCTTTACCAAATCATCGAGTCCAATTTTTTTCAAATCACTGTTTCAACTTTGTGTTTATTTGCTACCCGTGTAGGCAGTCGTTGCCAGTGGCAACGCTGGTGAGAGGTCGTCTGTTGGTTCCCATCCATGTCAATGGCCAAGACGGTGAGAGTTCTTAGGAATGAGTTACTTATCTTTTATGTGTCTTGCTAAAATGCAAAAAAGAAAGGGGAGTGGCAAAACTTGTAATAAAAGTTCACTAACTGAGGTTTTTTTGTAAGATTTACTCTGTGAATCTCAATTTTTAGCTTTTGTTTTAAAATATCTCAGTCAAAGTAATAAACAAACATAAAACATTGTTCCAATTTATCTTTTTGTCAAGATTTTATCAGTCATAGATCATTACAATACCGAATACATTGTTTTGCTATTTAATACGCTGCTAAACTTAAACTTGTAATCACAACATTCTTCCTGACAAAACTCTAAAATTTTTTAAATTCAACCTTAATTGATCATTAAAGTGATTTATAATATCCTAAAGTAACAAAACCAAAAAACTTTTGGGTTTAAGCCAAATCGTGTTTAAACGCACTATACAAATAAACGTTATCTGTGAGTAACTTGAGTCAAATATTTGGGGTTGGCATCGGCAAATTGTAGGCGGAGCATGAAGCACTGTCAAAAGTAGATACGTCAGTGAGCCGTATACAGTCTTAGAACGATAAAAACCAGATTATCCCAAAATAAAATTCTGTTTCTGATAACAAATTCGAGTTCAGCATACTCGAATTGAGAAAAGCATTTACTTCAGCATTGAAACTCAGCCCAATGTTCCGTTGTGCACTGCTTTTCTCTTGATTTCAACTGAAAAGAGTGCCCTCCCACTACTGCATAAGCAGCACTGGCAATGTTTGCAAATGTGTACAACAATTCATCGTCTGCCTCACTCTCCTCAGTGAACTGCGTGTTGTTCTCCAGAGAGTGGATCACACTTTCCATTTGTGCTTCTCTTCTTCCAACACGGACACAATCACAAAACTCAGTCTTCAAAACTTCAAACCTGGCCAACAGCAACAACAACAACAGCTGCAGCGCTTTAGGTGTGGCTGAAGAAGATAAAAGTGGTAGTTAGGGGCCTGGAGACTCTGGTTGCCCTTCTGGCTAGAGACTGTCCATTTTTCAATCTTCGCATTGCACCAATCGTTCAAGGCTTATCTCTTCAGCATCCTCTGAACCGAGACGAAAGCAACTCAAGCTAGACGACAGCCAAGTGATTACAGCAGCACTTTGTAATCTCCCAAACAACCAGCAAGTTCTCTTTACAATGACAGAACAACGCATTTCATAATGTAAATAAGTCATTTTGGATTTAAAACACTTATTTGCTAACTTGATTATACTTTTTTGCAGCAGTTCTAGGAGACTTTTGTTTACATTGTTTTTACTTTGAAATATCTAAAGTTTTTCACCAACAATGTCTAAAACGGAAGCAGACACTTTTGATGTTATTGAGGAGATTCCTGATGAAGTACTGCTTTCTGGTCCTTCATCTTCGACAGTGGATCCTCCCAAGCAGTCTACTTCTGGCCAAAACCGCAGTGGAAAGCTCAGCAAAAAGAAACAACAGCAACAGTCGACAAGTAGCAGCAGTCCATCGGGAGGACAGCCAAGCACAAGTCGAGGTGGTGCGGGTAGTGGCCCATCGTCCAATAATTATCTGGAGGTAGGCTCTGACACCTCTTCAGCTGCAGGCTTCAAGCCCGACCAACAGTTTGGCACTGCGTCTGCAAGTTCCACACCCGCCCACCAAATTCCACTGACGCCAGAGATTGAGCCCATTAACGTGAATGAAGACTCGCTTGCACTTGAAGCGACCGAAGTGAACTCAATAGTGCCTGATCCTCCAGCCATCTCTGCTCGACTTCCTGGCTTGGAGGTTGCTGATGCATCAAACATTGACTACTTGCTCTCTTTACTACCACCGACTGAACTGACTGAGCTGCCGGTCGAGGATCCAATTGTGATTCGCGGAAATGGCAACATGACGCTATTCGGCTTGTCCAACAGCTTTGTAAACACTTTTCCTTCTTCACTGTTGGGTCGTGTCAGTCGCGAAGAGTTTGAGTATACAATGTCCCGCATTAATGGTCTTCTGAGACAGCAGCACTCTACCAACGCCAAGTTTCTTTTGCTCGGCTGTCTATGCTGCTGCTGTAGTCTGGGATGCAGTCTGTTGTGGCCAACATTTGCGTTGTCTAAACGAACAAGGAGTTCGCTTGAAAAGGTTGGTTGAATTGTTAAATATTATTTAGCTTCAATTAACCAACTTTATCTTGGTAGCTTCTTGCAATGGAAAACTCGCGGATGTATAATAAACTTGGTCTCAACTGGCGCCTCTCCAAGCAGAACTGCCACACGAACCACTCCTTTATGGAATATGTGATCTTCATTGACTTCATACCGAAACTGCAAATCTACCAGCCTGATTGAAAAGACTGACAATGGCTGCAATCGCCCGACGACTATCGTTCCTCATTTACACAGTACAGCAGATGTTCGATAAGCATACTCTATCACAATTTACTTCATTGCCCACATATCGCCTCTACACAACCTCACAACACAGCCACAACACATCCCTCTGCTCAGATGACACCCCTCTTCACCGCCCTTATCTTTGATTTCGAAACTGTAACTGTCCTCTTTTTAAAAGAACCCCTAACACCAGTAAGTGAATAACTTCTCAAACTTGGCTACCACTTTCTTTGATTGTCTTTCTAATAATAACTTTACAGCTATTTCTCCCCTATCTCTCTTACTTTAACCCCTCTAGTCACTAACCCCTAATTTCTTTCTCCATCTTTTGTTTTAACTGTTTTAATTTCACATTATGTGTTGTCACATCAGCTGTAATAGGTTTTTACTTTCTGCATTTTTTGTTTTAACTGTCTCTGTTATAACTTGGCATAAACTGTATTTTATTTTTATATGTTTTCTCTCAATAGGTTATTTTCGGGCTCATTTCCACGGGCCAATCCACCCGTTGTGAAGGGCAGGGTCTGCTTCAAAGTCTTGAGGCTTATTTATAGGCTTTACATAGCCAGCATTCAGCTTTTTGTACACTTGGTACATTTCCTTGGCCAGAGTGGAATTGCTCACAACGAGGTTATTCAGTTCGCACGGGTCAGCTTCAATGTCAAACAGACAGTACTGCTCTTCATTTTGGTTGGCAGCATGACAGGGCGTCTGCGGAAGGTGCTCTCGGTTGCAGTTCACTGAGACAATGGTCGGTGCAGTGGGCGTCTGACCGCGAGCAGCCAGTACGGCGTAGACGTCCGAGCAGTGGTAGCAGATGGTGGCGTTCTCCGTCAGCTGCCCTGGGGCGTGGTACCACACATCAAAGTTGCCATTATCCCAGCTGCCACTGGTCAGCTTGTACCGGCCCTGTCTGACCGCCCACATTCGCCAGGGGTGCTCCTCGTGATCAATGTGGTGGATGATGTGCTGGCGGACGGACACTGAACTGGCGGACACCAGCTCAGGCCACAGGTTGTGCCCGTCGATGGGACCCAGTGCGGAGACGTTTCCGCCCGCTGCAGCGTACAGTGTGGGCAGCACGTCGGTGAGGTGCATCAGCTGCTTGCTCACGTGGGGCCGGACCAGGTGGCGGGCGCTCCACATCAGTCCAGTGCCTCTGATGCCACCTGCAGGCGCACAAACGTTAAGTACAAATGCCGTATTCAACTCAAAGAATGCCCCCCCTCTGCCTTACCTTCCCATGCAGTGTACTTGGAACCCTTCAGTGGATAGTTGGAGCCCTGGCTATCGTCAATGTGACCGCCTCTTCCATTTCCACTAGCACCGCCGTTGTCAGTGCTCAGGTAGATGATTGTGTTGTCCAGTTGACCAGTTTTGTGCAGTGCCTGAGGAAATGGTGTCAAGGTTACTCTCACAGAATTTAGTCTGACCAACGAACACTTACTCTAAAAACCCTGCCCACTGATTCATCGAGAGCGGCAATCATGCCGGCGAACCGCCGTCTTTCTTCATTCTTAATGTGCTTAAAGTCATTCTCAAATCGAGTTGGCGGTTGAATGTTTCGCTTGGGAAGCTGCTGAAAGGCGCCACCGTGAATGGACTGCTGTGCAAAGTAGATGAAGAATGGCTTGGAGTTTTCCGGTCCGCCACTGCTGTGCTGCTCAATATGCTTAATAACTCGGTCAGTGTAGAGGTCAGTGGAGTACTGTCCTTCATAGGCGGAAAGGTTTGCATGTTGATCGTTTTCCCAGAAATCAAATCCGTGCCTCAAGTCACCACCCATTCGGTTGTAGTAGTCAGACCTGCTGGTCAGGTAGCCGAGGAAGGTGTCAAAGCCACGCGATGTGGGCAGGTACTCATGGGCAAAGTGTCCCTGGTGCCACTTGCCAACAATGTGCGTAGAGTAGCCAATCTCGCGGAAGTGGTCGCCCATCGTTTTGTACTTTAGCGGCAGTCCGTATGGAGTGAGTACTGCAATCACATGGTGCTGCATCCCAGTGTGAACCGGATTGTAGCCGGTCAACAGGGCTGATCTTGACGGGGAACAAATGGGAGAGACATAGAAGTTGTTGAGGATCACTCCCGATGAGGCCAACAGATCAATATTGGGCGTAGCCACTTGGGAAGTCCCATGAAAACTAACATCGCCCCATCCTAAGTTGAAAATGTTAGACCGTGTTAGTAAATTGTATTTTCGTGCCTACCTAAGTCATCAACGAGAATAACAAGAACATTTGGCTTTGTAGTGTTTGCTGCTTTTGCATGCTGGGAGGCTAGAAAAAGAGCCAGAAACAAGCCAATTTGGGCACTTAGGCGGACCATGATGCTGTTTGTGATCTAAAGACGTGCTAAAGACAACTAGACTTTTACAGTTTACGGCCTTTTATTTTTAAGCTTTGGTGCTTTCCTCTGATAAGTTATTGGCTTATTAATTAATACATGT